CTCCTTCCCAACCTGTTTTACAACTGGGAGCTCCACCAAACACTGTCCACAAGGGGAAACCATTAAGGTTCAGCATCATAGCAAACCCAGGATACCTCATATAGCACAGTGACAAAGAGTGATGTGTGAAGTGGAAGAATGTTCCTCCAGATATAACAGCACTAGTCTCATTTAGCAGTGGTTAAGTGTTGTCGAGTCGAATATGACTCAGAGGAAGCTTTGCACAAAAGACCTGAACTCTGTTCTATAATTTCTGTACATTTATAAGAGAGTTTGTAGAGTTTCCAGAGACACCTAGTTTAGAAAGTGGATGCCACTCCTGCTTCTCAACATAAATCAGTCTGGAAGCTCATTCAACCATTGTACATAAAGGGTAACCAATATGGTATTTTAAATGACTATGGGATACTGTTCAGCATCACAGGAACTCCAAGTTGTTCAGTACAGCAAATAGACAAATGATTGCTGTGTCTTTTAAAGAATATTCTTTGAAAATTAATAAATTTGGCCCAAGGACCCTACAGAATTTTAAATCCACATCCTTGAGCAGTGCTGCACCCTTACTTTTAGTCCAAGGCTCAAGGGCCACCTACTTTTGAGGGGGGAAAAATAACAGTAACACACTCCAAAAAGGACCCCAGGAAATTCCCTTGCCAGACCGCCTAAAGATGAAAACACCGAGACGACCTCCAGCCAACTGATCATAAAAGACCTTTACAAAGAAAACTACAAAACACTTCTCTGAGACACAATAGAAGACCCAAAAAAATGGAATGGATAATAGAATTATATAAGTTGCAGAACCTAATCTTTTTGTAAACTGATGTTCCCTTTTTTTCTGTTCTTTTACTTCTGCAGGTATTTGAAAGTGTTTAGTAACCTAATCAACGCACTTCTTGTCCTTTTTATAATCATCCTTTTCCTGAACATATGATGCCTTTTTTTGGAAACCATTGATTACCCCATTTCTTGGTTGCTACATGATTTTCTTTCTTTGTTGTCATCTCTAATGGATAGTAAGGAATCCTGCTTTTACTCTTTCCTACAAACTGTATTCTTTCCAGTTCTAGAGACTGCTTGCTTTAAGTAGTTTTTTAAAAAATTAGTTTTTCAAAATAAGGCCTTCGTGGGTAAGTAAAAAAAGGATAAACTTGGTGATGATGTTGTGTGCCATCAACCAACTTACAGTTGACCATCTGGTGAACCTTAAAAGGGAGTAAATCAGGAGGGGCAGTCTCCTCCTGTACCAGTCAGATCTGATTTGATGGTACATACAAAAAAAAGATTATAAAATAAATTTTTTTTTAAAAAAGGAGTAAATCACACAGGAGGAGATTGTCCATTCTTTTTCTGTGAAGTAGCTGATGGATTAGAACCATACGCCTTTGGGATGGCATTGCAGCTTTTTAAAACTAGGCCACCAGGGCTCCCTAATTTGGTGATAAGAGTGTTTTAATTCCTCCTTTTTTAAAATAAAAAAATAAAATGAACTGGCTTTTACAGTCATAAAGTTCCGTTTTTCCTGTTCCTTTGTATTTTTCAGCACTGCAGTTTGCTTGGGGATGAGCTTATGGAATGTCTGTCTTGGAGGCGAGGAGCCCTACTTTACATGTATTGTCATTCTTTGACCAAAAGGAGAGAGTGGCTTTCAAGAAAATCTGGTTTGCTCAAAAAGGTAATAAGACATTGTATATATACATACATATATATATACATACACACACACACACATTCATATATCTATATACACACACATACATATATATACACATACATATA